GAAGAGGTTAGCGAGGATGGTCAGCACCAGGCAGATCATGGCGGCGGCAGGACCGGACCGGGCGGGGCGGAGCATCTGGGCGGGGCCTGCGCTTAAAGGGGCGCGCAGGACGCGGGGCCACCCACTGCACCCGCTTGGAACGCAGCGCTGCCCCGAGCGCCCGGCGCCCCAGTTCCGCGGCGGGCCGGCCCCAACATTTCACACGCACACGCGGCCCAACGCGCAGAGAGACCAAAACCCAGGATACAGAGTGCGTTTATTCCCAGCCAGAGCAACGGGGAAGGGGCCGCCTGGAGGTGGGGCCAGCGCGTGGGACCCCTGCCTCGGAGGGGGATGCTGGGGCAACAGAGGCGCCCCACTTCTCCCCACCAAAACGCAAGGCCGCGGAACAAGTCGCCGGAAGGGGGTTCGCCGGAAGGGGGTACACCCAAAGACGTCCATCACAAGGAGCCCCCCCCCCGCCTCACCCCCAGGCGCTTCTCAGGCCCGGCCCCATTAGACCGGGGTCCGCTTGGCCCGCCCCTTGGCCTCCTGTTTCGCCGGGTAGTCCCAAGGGTCCGCACGAGTCCTCTCCAGGTTCAGCAGGGGCTCCTCCGCGCTAGTGTCCCCGCTTTTCTTCCGCTGAGCCAGGATCATGGCTCGGAGCAGCGGTGGGTAGGGCACGGGGCGCGGGCTATCCTCCGTCCCAGGAGTGAAGGCGGCGAAAGCCTCCTCCTCGTGCTTGGGTACCAACCGCCAGTCGTGGTACATGACATGCTCGATCTCCCGGGCCTCGGCCTCCGTCTTCCCTGCGGAGGGAAGGCGGGGCTGACTCCGCGCCGGCTGGACAGTTGGCCACGCGCTCCTGCCAGCCAGTAGCCTTACCTTTGAAGGTCAGGATGCCCCAGGCCTTCCCGTGGTCCAAGTTCTGCGAAGCAAGAAAGAGTCGGGTCAGCTCCGGAAGCTGCTCGCCCAGCGGGCGGGGAGGCGGAAGCCCCGGTCCCTGGGATCCGGGGGTGGAGGGGGAGTCGGGGAGAGGCGCGAGGCCAGGGAGAGGCCGCACCGCGCCGGGTGGGCTCGGGCCGCGCGCACCTGCGCGGTGAAATCCGGCCGCACGCGCGTGAGGCGCCAGTAGCAAGGCTCGTCGTGCTGCCACAGCCAGGACTTGCGCGTGACCAGGCGGCCCAGGCCAAAGAGCGGGAGGCGGGCGAGCAGCTGCAGGAGGCGGCTCTCGCGGCGCACGTCGGCCCAGGCGCGCACTGGCAGCCGGCGGCCCGAGTGCGGCCGCGTCAGGGTCTCGTAGTCCAGGGCGTAGAGCTGCGAGTCGCGCGGACGCTCCCGCTGTTCGCGCAGAGCGCGCACGCGGCGGGCCAGCTCGGCGATCAGCCGCGGCCGCACCTTCTTCCGCGCCATAGTGGTGTCCGCGACCCCCGCCTTGCCCCGCCCGAACCCGGTGTGTCCCGACCCGGCCCGCGCCGGAAGCGGCCGGTGTCCCGCCCAAAGGCGTCCGGGCGTGTGCGGAAGTGGAGGGGAGGCCGGGCCATGGCGGAGGTGCGACCCGAGAGGGCCTCGCGCTC